ACGCCACAGTCCCCAGGTTTTTAATGAGAATGGGGTGAGAGACAGTGTCAAAGGCCTTCCTAAAGTCCAGAAAGACTATGTCCACTGCTACCCCTGCATCTAATGATTTTGTGACCTGGTCATAGAAGGCCACCAGGTTGGTCTGACAGGACCTGCCTCTAATGAACCCGTGTTGGTTGCCCCTAAGCATAATCTCCCCTGCTGGCTGCTCGTGAACATGTGCCAGAATAATTCTCTCAAAAAGCTTGCCCAGGACGAGGTAAGTAAAGGCTTTGGTTCCTTGCTTCCCATATAGAGCTGCAGTGGTTGCTGGGCCAGGGGTGGGTTGACCTGGTTCTTAGCAGTGACATCTGATCTCCTCCCTGCAGTGACATCCTGTCCCCCAATCTGTCTCTCAATCCTGTCTCTCAATCAGCCCTTGCCCCCCACGAACCCTGCCCTGCTCCACATAAGAGGAAGCTTGAGCCCCCTTGCCTTCTTCCTCGTGCCTAGGGCTCCTGTGCCACACATAACAGCTGCCCATGCCACTTGTGGCATGTGCTATTGGTTGGCCACCCCTGGTCTGTGGTCTTTGTCTTTAGGTTTTGTTTTTTAGCTCAAGCTGGAGAAGCAGGGGCTTCCATCTCTAGGGATAGGAATCTGGTTCAATCTCTGCTGTGTTGACAAAGATGGCAGCTGTCACATCTGCTGTTTTAAAGTCAGAGATTATTCTAATCCCTGCATTTGAGAGAGAGCAAGGATTTACTAAAGCAAAGTAAAATGCCTTCATTTAACCTTAGGTAGGTGCTATGTATCTATCATGTATCTACATACTTGATTGCTAAATGATACTTGCAAACTCAGTCCAGTGATGCTTCATGTCAACCCTATTTCTGCATTTCAGTGCTTGTGTGCATTGTTGTATCTTTCCATTTGTTCAGCGCCCATGGAAAACCTGGTTTTCAATTATCATTTTTACTGTCTTTCAATACAAAAATTGCTGCTTACCCCGCATCTATTAGCACAACATCCTCCAGATGCCCCCAGCATCATGAACGCAGGCAAAATAACCTACAAAAAAGCACATACTGAATTACTGTGTGAGATTTCCTTGCACTTCTCAGTAGTTTGAAGATCAGGTGTAGTGAGGTCCAAAGGTTGATGCTGCTTTAATGTAAACCTTCTTCTCACTCTTCACTGTGGATGTATCTACATGTGTGCTTTACTGCTGAGTTTAATAACTAGCTCCACAGTAAAGTGTCACCATCTGCACGGGCACCCCTATTAGGGTGCAGTAAATTAATTAACTCTACTGTAGGATAGTACTATCCAGGACAAGTACTACCCTATGTAGGAGTTAGTTAGTGTGCCAAAATGCACATATAAATGGTGAGTGGGGCTGGCCAGGGCATGAGAGTACTACAGTGTAGGGGCTGACTGATGGCTAACTCCACACTGTAGCACCCTCATGCCTCACCTTGCCCCTCTGCATCACATTGAGTATAAGTTATTGTCTTTTGACAATATCTTACCCATGTTTGAATTTATTGCTCCAGAGTTTATTGCTCCCAGGCACCGTGTGTTGACGTGCATTCAGGACTGCAGCACACTGAGCTGGGTCAGAACTGGCCTGGCTGGCAGGGAGCCCTGGGGGGTCAGTCTTCCAGCCAGGGCTCCTTCCCCTGGCTCAGTGTGCTGCAGAGGGGCTGCTTGGGGCATGAAGGTGCTTCAGTGTGGGTCTAGCTGGCAGGCAGCCCCTACACTGAAGCACCCTCATGCCCCAGCCAGCTGGGACAGTGTCTACCCATACGCTGCTGAGAAGTAAAAAACTCTGCAACAGGATAGTGCCTGTGGGTGAATCCAGATGAGTGCAGCCATGTGGTATGTAATGCTGCCAACACATTTGCAGCACCACATACTGCGCAGTCTGGTGTTCTCCGCACTGCAAGGGCACACTGCCCAAGTGTGTGCTGCTCTGGGTTTTTTTTTTTCTGCAGGGATATTTTATCCCTGGATATCCAGGGGTCAAAAAAAATGTGGAAAAAACCTGCAAAGCAGTCCACGCTCAGGCAGCATGTGCTGCTGAAAAGTGCAGCCAGGCTGCCCAGAGCTATGCTGTGGCTGCCAGCCAGGCTTCACTTGGCAGGATTGCCATGGCTGCAGCCCCAGGAGGCCCCAGGATCCCGGGTGAGGCTGCTGGGGCTAGCACAGTGCTGGCCCCAGCCTCCCCTACTGTCCCTGGGGTAACTTGCCACATGCCAAAGATGGATGTTCCCCAGGGACAAGTAGCTGCGGCACAAGGTGCAGTGCTGCTACTTGTAACTGGGGAACCAAACGTCCACACATACCTGGATGCACCCTGTGTTTACAAGGACTATCCTGCTGCAAAGTAAATTAGTTTATTCCAACTTAATAGGGGTGCACATGTAGACACAGAATGTTTACTGTGCAGCTAATTAGTCCACTGCATAGTAAGTGTCTCATGTAGATGCGCCCAGAGTCTCCAAAGGCAGCACAGGCTGGTGCTTGTAGTTTGGGGTGTAAAGAACATGAAAGAGCCGCCAGGTGTGTATCTAACAGCCAGAATGAAGACTCTACCATATGCTCAGAACAACCGTCTGCTGTTGTTTGTGTAGGTCTTCCACAGAGCAACATGGGAGAGAGAAGCATTAAAAATAATATATAAAATAGGTGTTGTAAAATTGGCAAATGGAGGAAAGGAAGACTCGGGGTCAGGTGTTGTATATGAAAAGACTGCTAACTTTTTTTTTAAACTAACTAAGTTTTAAACAACATGAAAGATGCAGTTTTAACTGTCAGTGGGTGCATCTACACAAGATGTTTACTGTGGAGCTGACTAATTAGCTCCACAGCAAGTGTCCCAGTGTCTACATATATGCCCCTACAAGGGCACACAAAACTAATAAATTCTGGAGCAGGCTAGTAATTGTAAATAGAAGTACTACCCTGCTGTGGAGCTTTTTTTTCCTAAGCACAGCACTTGTGTAGACGCTGACCGACTGGCAGAGCACAAGGGTGCTTCAGTGCAGGGGCTGCCTGCTGGCTAGCCCAATGCACAACACCTTCATACACCAGCCAGCCCCTTCACAGCACACTAAGCTGGGGAAAGCAGCCTTGGGCTGACAGGCTGACCCCGGGGACCCCCTGCCAGCTGAGGCTGCTCTGACCCAGATCAATGTGCTGCAGTCTGGGTGCACGTTCAGAGTGGCAGCAATAAGCTCCAGAGGGCAGGGGGCACCAGGGGGCTCCAGAGCTTATTGCTGCACATTAATAGGCAAGTGTAAATGTACCCAGTTAAAAATGTAATTGCCTAATAAGTGAGCCTCCACGGAGAATTTATGTGAACAGAGTATAACTAACTGTTGGAATTTGACTAGGACATTGATCTACCATGTGCACTGGACTAGGACATTGACCTCTAGCGCCGTGAGTTCAGTGCTGTCCTCTAGAACCACGCTCAGCCTGTCACAAGATACAGACCGAGAAGTCACTGTCACCTGGTGAGTCCATTGCCCTACTTCCTGCTACACCCTGCCTTTCCCTTGCAGATCTGCCCAAGCTGTGAGCTGGTTATTTTGTCTACACTTGGTTTGAGCTGTTTTGCTTGGCTCAAATATGCATGACTTTGTTTGTCACTGGTCTCTCTCTCCAGTGACCGATTTCAGTACTCTGCCTTTTGAGGTTAAAGTGAAAATTTGCCAGGAGGCTGGTGCCAGTGAGATGAAGTCTGTGGGTTTGATGTTGCTCAGACAGGCTTTTCACAGTGGTGCCATTCTGCATTCAGATTGACTCATAGTCTGCAGAACTGAGCACTATTGACAAACTGAGTCATTCTTTCTTTTTTTCAATTTCCTTATTTTGCAAGTTCAGAAATTTAAGATTTTTAACCAAAACAGAGTTCTGCTTCTTTTGCAATTTTAAAAATAGGAGTGGAAGAGGAGAACCGGTTTGAAGTTAGTCAAATATGGGCACTCAATGGGAAGAATGTGCTTATGATTAATTCACTGGTCTCAAAGACAGGCACCCCAAGCACCCCTGTTCTGTTTGAAACACCATCCTATGTGAATTTGAGTAAGTCACTTAATATTTTTCTACTCCAGGTTCTCATCAGGAAAATGAGTACAACAATGTTTTTTTCCTCTTACTCTTTGTCAGGTTCCATCTGTCACATTCTGTGATAAAAAAAAACACATCCATGTAACATCGTTGTTTTGCAAATCAGTAACTCTTCCTAGTGATGTCACCTCTCTTTCAAGACTCAGTACATACTCTTCCTCCACTCACATTTTTAATATGTTCCACCCTGCCCACAAGGCAGCCTTATCTAGAACCCATAAAATAAGTCATTTTCTGAATAAGAGTGATGCAGGGTTGCCATGCTGAGCATCAGTCCTCCTTTCATTAGCACCCAGTGCCTCTTGGGCTTTGAGAAGTGTGACTTTTCCACCAGGGTCTGTTGTACGATTGTCAGCTTCCTTTAAGTTTCATCTGCATACAGTCAAACTCAGCATGAGTAAAAGGTACATTAACAGTATATAAAGTAGGAGGTACATCATCAGAGGGATCAGGCAAATTATTCATAGTGAACTAGATGCATTTAGCATATTTTCTTTTCCAAAAATATGTGTGTAAGAAGGTGCTCAGCCTGCAGCTTAGCCTGCAGGTAAGCAACAGTTAACAGCTTGCTTGGCTGGAAAGCTAGCAGCAGCTGCAACTGAAAAGTGGATTATAGTGGAGCTACAAAGAGCCCTAAAAGCTCCAGGGGCACAAGGTAAAGGGGAGAGATGGGAGGTTGTCGTGCTGGGGGAGCAGTGCAGCGGCTAAGCTGTTCTCTCAGGGTCTAAGAAAGGCTATAGGTTTTGGTGTATCTGTTTGTTATACATTTTTTTTTTTGTTCTCTGTTTTGCTTCTGTGGGAACAAGTTTGTCCCATGAAAAATAAACAGGCTAGAACAGAGAGCTGACTGGTCTTGAAAAGGAAGCTAGGTAAGTGACCTGTCTGTGCGTATATTTACGTGTACCTAATCTTAATGCAGCTTTGCTTAAGGTACTTTAAGCATGTGTCTACACATGGATGTGCTAATGTGCATTAAGGCACATTAAATGTAGGTGTAAATAGCTAAGTCACATCAGTGCACGTGCAGATGTGCTAATGCACATTAACATGGTGTCTATCCGTTGATGCATACTGTGTTACTGCACTTTAGCGCATTTACGCATTTGCTAATGTTATTTAGCTATTCATGCGTGAATTTGATACTTGCTTTATCCATAAAGCACACAGATGTTCCTAGAACAGTGAACACAAAAAAGAGGGGGTGATATGAATATGGCTGAACTTAGCAGCTACTTGGAATTTAGCAGTGACTGAGTGGTTCTGCTCTAGTTGATATTTGCTTTTGCTGTTTATTATTATCATTGGCATGATATGTACAAACAAGTTCCAGTTTTTCCCTTAATAAGCCTCATAAAACATCTGAGACTCAAACCAACAAAAGAAGTAATAATCAATTGAAATGAAAAGTTACAGAGTCACCATTGCTGAATTTAGACATCAAGCTACACTATGGCCAGCAAAGAATGTTTCTGTTACTATTCTTTATGAAAGGGGGAAAGCCAAATATTTTTGTTTGTCATACAGAACTTTGAAGTTCATGGTATGTCAAGGTTTTCATCATTAAATTATATTTCTTATTCAAGTACATGCTTTTTAATCTTCCTGGTATATCACTGCTAAGTTTCATACCCTCTTCTCCAGATAAATTAGCTTATGCACAAATGTGAAAGACAGCCCTATTGATCTTTGCTAAACTAATAGAGGCTTTCATAAGCTTCAAAACTGGAATACTTAAAACAATAACAAAATGTATCTCTTACCAAGATCCCAGCTCCAAGAATGCCATGGAAAAACCAGACCAAATCAGTTATCTTGTTACTCTCTAGAACTTGTCCATTGGGGAAGTACAGGAGAAGGTTGGAGATGATAGCACAGATAGCCAGGGGGAACAGCATGACCCCAATGCACTTTGAGCACTTTCCAGTGCACATGGTAGATCAATACTAAGGAAAGAAATGAGAAAAGAAAGCCTGGGTTACTTTGTGCTTTAAAAACATGGAGGAATAGGACTTCATGTGAGTGAGAAATTTTTATAAAATGTATCAAAATGGTGCTGAAGCAAGAGAGTTTTTTCCAAGAAAGGTGTTACCAGATAGAGCTATTGAACCCCCCGACCCCAATTCTGTGTTCAAAACTGGGCCAGGTCAATAGCAAACAAATCTTGGTCCTTTGTGAAATGGCTATGTCCATATAGGCTATGTCCTATGTGCAAGTACCTGGTAATTCATATGTGATCCTAGCAAATAACTCTGTATGTCTTTGAAAACACTAGCATGATTGTCATTAACTGGCAACCTTCCTGGTAGTCTCAGCAGTGAGATCCAGGACAGAATAAGCAGGAAGACTGAAGAATTCTCTTACAATTCAAGTTACATCTTCACCAGGAGATACAATAAAAGCAAGGTTTGGTTGAAACTTGCATTGTTGCTGCCTGTGCTGGGCGAGTTTATTTTGTAGGGAAGAGGATTTCAATTAGCAAGGCTATGGAAACTGACACTTATATGATCACTTAGTTCACTTAAAGGGGAAAAATGGAGTTCTGTGATTATACCAGTAGTTGCTTGAGACATATTAAGTGCTTGTTCGGCTCAGAGAGAAGTTGCAGAAATGTGTTTGTAATGTGCAAAACAGTGCTCCTGTATTTTCTGGCTCTTGGGTTTTTCTGTTAATATATCCCAGGGGTGGGCAAAATATAGCCTGCGGGCTGCAGGTCTTTGTCTGGCCCACGGTGGGTCCTCGGCCTCCTGGCTTAGGCATAGTTCAGCCATGGTGTGTCCTGCCACCTGCTAGGCACACAGTGGGGCTGGGGCAGCTCTGTACCTGGACTGCTTTTTCTAGGCAGCCCAGGTGGCAGGTGGCTCTTTCTGGCTGCCACTGCCACTGGCCCCAGCCCTGCAGTACTGGCAGGGACCCGCGCTGCACAGCTCTGATCCCGTGCACCCCACACCTGCTCCAGGCTTGCCTGCTCTCAGCAGTGGTGGCACTGGACAAAATCTGTTGCTCAGTGCAAAGGGAAAGCAATCCCTCCCCCTCCCACTCCCAGCAGTTCCCTGCTGCAGGCATCTGGAGCCTGTGCTGGGCTGCCCCACATCTACACTGCATTACTGCCACCTCCAGGCTGCCCCATGTGCAGCATGGGTCCCCACTGGTATTGCAGGGCTGGGGCTGGTGGCAGCAGAAGGAGCCACTGCCTGGGCTGACTAGAAAGGCAGTCCAGCTGCAGAGCCACTCCAGCCCCGCTGCATGTCCACAGGGCAGCAAGACGCACCTGGGTGGGTGATATGGAGCAGGCGCTGAGCAGGCTGGGTCGGTGCTGTGCCAGTTTGTGGCTGATCCACTCTGCAGGGGTGAGTTCAGAGTGGGTGCAGGGTGTGCTGGTGGTGGTGGGGAGGCACCTCAGGGCATGCAGGATTTGGGCTGTTGTGGGGCAGGAGCAGGTCCTGACCGGCTCAGCACATGCAGGGGAGTCCCATGCACCACCCCCCCATACCCACAAACCCTGCAACAACACTCTTGCCAACACACAATCACACACCTCACAAACACAGCATCCTCACATACCTTTCCCCCCACACTGACCCCCTCACACACACACCCATGCACCTCTGGGGGGACCCCTACTCACTGCTACGTGCACACCCCCCACTACACACATACCCACAACTCCCTGCACACCCCACACTCATCCCCAGCCACCCTCCCCTTCCACACACTGCACAAACCCCAAAAAGAGAAACGGGACTCAAATGAGTCCAGCCAGGTAGGCATCCAGCCTCTTCTTAAAGACCCCCAGGGTAGGGGCCAGCACCACTTCCC